TTTGCTTCAACGCAGCAATTTGTTTATCCCGAATTGAAGACATCATAATTTGTTTTTTTATTGAATCGTTGGTGTTTTATTATGTAAGAATTTATTCAAGAAATATTGATATCATTACTAAAATTTCTTTAGACTTATAAAATGATCTTGCAATCTTGATACAACTATACATGCATATTAATTTTTAAAACTGGATATAACACCTAAAACAATACAAAAAACAGTTAATTAAGATTAATATGTGAGAAAAATAGTTTTTGTGTTGAAGTACAACCAACACTAGTCTAAGCCAATATAAAAGTATATCAGTATTTTATAAAATTGTAAAGCTTTTAATTAATTTTCCTACTTTAAACTAATATTTAGATGTTTAAATTATTGTTTTGACATAAAATCCTTACTAGTTATTATACGATAAAAATGGTACAAACATATTCTAATTTTGAACAAATTCATGGACAGTTGACATTTTTGAAGTGAAAAGAAACTACTTTCAAAAATGTATATAAATATTATTGCTATAGCGGTATGATTATATTTTTAAAATAATAAAATAATAAATAGGAAATAGTAAATAAAAAAAATAATTTAACTCAACCTGGTTTATTTTGTATAACTTATGATTTAGCTATATTATTAGTAAAATTTTATTAAATGCAGGGTTTAAGGAAATACCCAAGAAAGAGGGACAATAAATAAAATTAAAAATAACACATATTTAATACAATGCCCAGTGTTCTAAAGTTTTGCAGGGGGGCAGTAAAACATGCTTTTTTATATGAAACCATTGAAATCATTACTACCATAACAGTAGTGATGTATGTACATCAACTTTTTAAATTACTGCTATAGCAGTAGTTGTACACAAATGTGTTAACCTGAACCTACAGTTCTTCAAAAACTTAACATTTTTGATTGATTTTCAAAATTATTTAATAACTACTCAAGACATTTAAACACTATATAGTTAATAATACAAGTAAACAATTAATAAACAGGTTGCTACTATTTAAGTTAGAGGAATATAATAAAAATACAATTGATATATAATTATATAAGCTATGTAGAAATTTTATTTACTGCATAGATGTTTATGATTCACTATGAATGCCATAATCATTTCAACAACATAATATTTTATTGAAATCTTAATAGAATTTAAAATTTAATACATATATTATAATACACTTACTTTTAGGTAAATCCAAATGTTTGATACCAAAAATAAATTTTAACACTTAAAACAACATATTTTTGTTAATTTTTAAATTAATAAATTCAGTAAAAACATGAAATGTAATGGTTTATAATTTTAAAATACTTAAATGAACACTTTAATGTTTTAAGTTTTTATAATAACAATTAAAAATAAAAAATAAAATACCTTTTTACTATTATCAATTCAATTTGTTATCAATGTAGTGTTGTCAGTTACCACGTCAATCTGGTATTTAAAGGAGTACCCGGTAACAAAACGGCGTGATCGTCTGTCATAACCACAAAATAAATTCTAACATTCTTTTCTTGTTTCATGTAAATAAAGAATTTTTTGTACGTAAAATTCTATAAGGAATATTTTACTAATTTTAATTATTAAATTAACTTATATTGCAGTAATTTAATTATTTTGATTATTATAATGGCGTTAAATTTAAAAGTTAAAGTGCACCCTGTTGTGTTGTTTCAAATTGTGGATGCGTATGAACGTAGAAATATTGATGCACATCGAGTAATTGGAACATTGATGGGTAAGTACATTAAATAAACGAAATACAAAATATTCTGGCCTATCGTAATTAATTTCTTTTATTCTAGGTACGGTCGACAAAGGTGTAGTTGAAGTGACCAATTCTTTTGGTGTCCCTCATAAAGAATATGAAGACACTGTTAGTACATTCCCCTAAATTTTCTTTTGATAGTTAAACTTGTAATCTTTTATTTGTTTTAAGGTGGAAGCCGATATTGTGTATGCAGCGGATATGTTTAAAATGAATCAAAAAGTTAATAGATCTGAACAAATTGTTGGATGGTGGGCTACTGGTAATGAAGTAACTACACATTCATCAACTATACACGAATACTACTTGATGGAATGTAACAATCCAGTACACATAACTTTGGATACAACATTGAAAAACGATAACATGGGATTAAAAGCATACATCAGGTAAGCTATTAGTTTTAGTATTAATAAAAAAGTACATCAACTATAACTGCAATTCTGCTGGCAAGTGTGACTGATGTGTTAAATTTAATTTCTGAACCTATTTTGTTTTTATTTGTTTCTATTTATTTTGTGTGATTATTTACATACCTTTATTTAATTTATAATGTTTTATTACAGCACACAAATTGGTGTTCCCGGAGGAAAAACTGGAAATATGTTTATTAATGTACCAATTGAAGTTACATGTTATCAACCTGAAACAGTTGGATGTATGTCAATATTTATATACATTTATCTTATTTTTTTTAAATTTTTTAACTGAGAATTTTTGTAATTTAATAATGGCATTATAAATACTGATATAAATTATTAGGACAGTATTTTATAAATTTAGAAGTATTATCTTACTGAAGTTACCTCAGAATTAATAAAAATCCAGAATTACACTTTTATTGTTTAAGTTTATTGGCAATATTGCATTGTTTTGTTATAATTTTAATTTTAGTTATTTATTTGTGCTTTTTTTTTTTAGTAAGTTTGTGCCAGAAAACTGTAGCTGTTGGACAAAAATGTCAAGAACCAATCCCTGAGCTGGTACAAATAGAAGAAGCATCGTCAAAAATCTCTGATCTTTTAGAGGTAGTTTTATCATACATTGATAAGGTGTTAGCATCAAGTGACTGTAATGCAGCTGACAACAGTCATATCGGTCGTATATTACTTGATCTTATGCATAGTGTACCTCATGTGACACCTGAACGATTTGAAGAAATGTTTAATTCTAATGTTAAGGTAATTATTTGTATTCTTTGTTTAACCTTATTTTAATAGATCTAATAATAATATGTACATATTTTTTTTAGGATTTGTTGATGGTTATTACTTTATCTCAATTGACCAAGACCCAATTAGAACTCAACGAAAAACTCACATTACTCAGTTTGTCATAAATGCACCAAATATAATACTACAACAGTCCGAAAAAAAAAATTTATAATTTTTAATCATTCATAAGTTAATCAATTTATGCAGTAGCAATTTATTTAAGGTTTTAAGTGTATAACAATAATTGATAATTTATCTTATTCTTAAAACAATAAATATGGAATTGAAAACCTTTATTAATTCAATTTATCATTATAATTCTTTTTTGGTATTTTAGTAGTATTTAACACTAAATATTTTTGAAATTACAATAGCTCTTATTGTAATGATACCCTCATGCTAATCAGTAATTATACAGCCAATGTAAATTATTTTAAAACGTAGAGGTTCAAAGTTAAATGAAGAGTGAAAACGCCCAGGGAGGATAGAATTCATTAGGAGTAGTATAGGAGTCCATCAATCATATTCAAAACGAGAAAGAATTAACTTTGATGGTTTGTTTATTGAGATGTGGCTTGGTGGCAGTGAGAGTGACTATGGAAATAAATATTGGTTCTAACATAAATAATAATGTATAATTAACAGAAGAAAAAAAATGCCTCTTGTTTTGTGCCTTACCGGTATCAACAGTTTGCAACAGCCATGCAGCAGTGTCATAAGTATTTTGTCAGTAGCAGCTCATGATATAGATGAAGGAATGATCACATTTGCTTTTAAAATTAAAGAAAATAAAACAATTCTTTTTATGATTATATTAATAGAATAATAGTTTTTATAAAAACTACAACTTTTGACTAGTATTGATTCATATATTTTATTTTGTCGTGTACTAACATTGAATTGTTTTCCTGAGATCCAGAAGCGTATAGGCATGTATACAAATACGTATAGTTTTTGGCCAAAAAAATATCTTCGACTGAACTATTCTAAATATGTACTATATAGTGATGTATAACTGTGTGCGTGCGAGTATGTTTAAACTGCTATCGTGTATGCACATTTTGGATGACTGGCATGTTGTCCGTTGGGTAAAACATTACTATAGTAGGTAAATTATTTTAAAATTAACTTTGCACACAACACGTTATTGTCGGTTGCTATTGTTGATTAATAATTTTAAATTTAATAATAAATTATTTCTATACTAATATAATTGTATAAATTATAATACAGTTTACGATGTATTATAGATTTGAAGAACAAAATGTAATAAAAAATTCCCAGTTGATTATTTACAGAAACTTACAGAATCCTTTCTTTACAAAAGAATGTTACATAGGTAATATTTTATTATATTTAATTTGTTATACCTATGATTTAGAGTATCATAAGTTGCATCCCTACAACCAGCAACCATTAGCCATAACTGCATTTTGTCATAAAAAGAATATTAAAATTACAATGGTCATTAAATTAAAAGGATGAAAAGTGTATTAAGTATATAAATCATGCATAATAAATATATATTAATACAAATCTTTAAATTTTGACTAAGTTGGATATTCACATATTTAAAAAACAATTATATTAATTTCTTGTGATTCAAAAACAACAGTAGATAAATAAAATATTTTTTATGCATGTTTTAATTAAAAAAATATTGGTTTTTTTTTGTAATTTGTAGAAATTTAAAATTATTGATTTTTTTCGATAAATATTGACTAAAATTTTTCATTTGGTCAAAAAGTTTGAAAAATTGAATACAAAGTTTTTTATAAGTAGTTTTTACTGTAATCAAAAAATTTTAAATAGATATTATATTATCTAATATTTTGTAATTAACACAAATACAGCACAATTATATTACCCTGAAAATAATCTATGTTATATAAGTAGTTTAGTTTTATATGTAAAAATACTCGTATTGGTTAAAGCCAAGTGTTTTTTTTTTAAATTTAGAATTTGTATTGCTTAATTATAATAATAATAATAATAAAAAAAAAATGTGTGCATATAAAACTATATGCATGTATTATATATTTTTTTAACACAAACTAAATTTTTATTTCAACTCTAATTCAACATCCATTGCAATACACCACTTATGTCTTATTGTCATATCAGGTTACAGATATTTTAAAGAGCTAATAAACTTATAACAAACATAAATATAGGCAACATAAATTTATAGAAAAAAAAAAATAAAAATACGTCATAGGAAAAAAAAATTACATATTTTGGTTAAATTACATTTTTACCCGTACTTTAATTCTAACAACCAAAAATGCTATAATTGTATTATTATTTATTATTATAATTATTATATTATGAGTAGTATTTTATAATAAGTTTAATAAATTGCTTAAATGAAAGATAGTCAACATTACACAACTATATTAGTAAGTTGGTGTTAGAACACGTAAAAAGCTCTTTAAAAACCACTTCTATAACAATGTTTGAGTTATTATTATATAGTCAAATTACTCAACAAGTATTGCATAGTTACGGAAAAATGGGTCAACGAGGCATTTTAATAATTATTTATAATTCATTATGCAGACAATCATAGAAGGTTGTGTGAGTCACGAGTACCTATTAAATTACATCTAAAAATAATATTTAATATGTATTCTGCTTTTTGAATTAACATATTAAATTTTTGGTAACTTTGGTCTAACAACTAAAGGGTTGTTCTTTTCAATAGAGTTGCGACCATTCTTTTGATAATCATAGGAGCAATTGTGCGATTCTGAGTACCTAAAATGTAATATAAATAAAATAAGTTAATTAAGAACTTAAATTTAAAAAAAAAAACAAACAAATGAAACATAATATAATTAATTTATACTTAAAAATAAATAATTATTTTTTTTGCTCCAAAAATTAACATTTTGAATTAGAATAAGTATAAATTAGATTTATTTTCTAATGTTAATTGTACAAATTAAACTTATTTATAACTTACCTATGTACTGGACAAAAAATAAGTCCACATCGACATGTATACTGAGCACTAATAGTTAGTTTTTTATTGCACTGAGCGCATCGTTTTTTCTTTTTTTCTACCACTTGATCAGGTATAGCCTGATTCAGATCTTCAGGTACAATAGCTGGAGATTTTTTTTCCATTCTATTACTTTCTGATTCCATAGGTTCTTCATCATCAAGTTGAATAGGCATGTCTGATCTATTTAGTATCCTATGTATAGCTCCCAATCCTGTATTATTGGATAAGGACATGGCAGTCATTTGTTCAGTCGGTGACGCTTGTCTAGAAACATTTATGTGGATATTATGGGATAACACCAACGATGAACTACTAGGACGCCTAGACCAATCTGTGCTGGATACATCAATGTCAGTACCAGATTCTGAAATACTAAAAATCAAAACATATTTTAATGATATTTTTATAGCTTATAAATAGAGCGCAAATTTCTATGTAATTGCATATTTTTTCCTTTTTACTTTTTTTAGATTGTTGTCAGTTATCTTCACAAATCATAACAATTTGAATCTGATGGGGAATTTTTTTTCATATTTCTGCATAGTTTTGCATATTTTACAAAATTCAAAATATATTGCATATTGAAACAAAATTTTTTTTATATATATAGTTTATTTAAGTAATTAATTATTGTAAGTTGTAAATTTTATATAAATAAAAATAATTTTCTTACATATTTGTTGCATATTATTATGATTTTTACTGTATATTATATGGCATATTTTGATACTTTTTAGTGCATAAAAATCTGTGCTCTACTTATAAATAATAAATATTGTAGTAATTTTAATCAATTGTATCATTTTATCAATAACAATACAATACTTAATAATTCAGCCTAAAATTTTAAACTATAGTTTTTAAATTTTTTTAATTTATTCCATTATTCTACATTAATATCAAATCTTTACAAAATAAATTATAAGTTTAAAGTGCTTTAATGTTTTATGTCATACATTTAATAGTGTACATTAAAATATTAAATTACCTGTCAATACTTGAAGTACTACCACTATGTCTAGGTTCATTCATGATATGGCAAAGTTGTCTAGTTGAAGTTGATTTTGCATTTTTTTCCGAGCATGTAGTACTTGCGATAGTTGGTAAAACTGGTATTCTTGAGAATTCAGCACTACGAACATATTTCCCCAAAACAGGAGTTGATTGAACAATAGGTAATCTCCATGTGTGTAGCTTGCTACTATCTTTTTCAGTCTTCATTTGTGATTTTTCTGGTGCTGAAGCTGATTTACGATGTTCAGGTTTTGTTCTTTTTAACTGGAAAATTTTATAATTTAAAAAAAAAAAAGAATTTAATATTGTTTGATATAATATACATTCAAATAAATTAAGTTTCAACAATAATATATTTAATTACTAGGTAAAATATTATTGAGGTCAGTTTATATATTTTATTTCAAAATTTAACTATAAGTTAACATAAGTAAATTAAATTATTCCTTTTAGAGTAAAAGTTATTTCATCAGATGGACAATAACTTACCATGTAATTAAGCCATGAGATTAGGTGAATAGTCACAAATAAGTAGAGCGTGAAAAAATCATTCAAGTAACTTTCCCTTAACTCTCATAAAAACTAACAATGAATATTATACTATTTCATATAACATTGATGAAAATAATTAATATAAGAGTAAATTATAAACCATGTACATATGCAAATTAAAAAATAGGATCATTAACATAATCAAATCTATCAAAAAATTGGTTTTGTGTAAATATTCTTGTTTTTTTTGTAAATTTTTTTTTTCTTCTAACTATTTAGAACAGTATTGAGAAATTATTATTTTTGCTTCGTAGCATCTTATACTAAAAACAATTTTTTATCAGAAAAATTCTTTAGCGTTGAAGATTGAAAAATACTTTCTATTGTTATGTTTCTTTAAATAACCATACACACACACACACACACACACACACACACACACACACACACACACACCACTGTAAAACCAATGCATTCATTACTCTGTTCAGATTAAAGAGAAGTTTACTAAATATCTACAGCAGCATGAGGTGATTCAAAATTTATGTTGCTGTCAACTTTTTTATATAAATATTCATAATAGAGAAACATGTTTAAATGAAAGTTTTGTTTCTATAAATATTTATAATTATAAGTAATTTTAATATTTTTCTATAATATTTTAGGTGGGATCTTGTGGGATAACTTAGAAAATTCATATGGACATATGGGTAACCAATATTTTTGTTTTTCGCAATTCTAATGTGAAGAATTTTTTTCAAAATACTTTGATACTTAAAAATTGATAATCACATGAGTAATTTATGAGTTTTTATGAAAGTGTGGTGAAGTGATACCACACAAAATATTAGTCTACTACTCACTCACTTAAACTTTAAATACTTTCGACTCAAAATATTTGTTTAAATATCAATTTTTATGAATCAAAATGCTTTTAAAACAATGTTTTATATTATGGTTGAAAAAAGTAAATGTTTCCATTTGAATTTGTTAAACTGATTCCCAAAACCCCTCTAAAATATTGTAAAAAATATAAAAATTTTTATCATTTTAAATATTTATAACTAAAAAAGATTTCATATTAAATTTTTTTCTCTATTATGAATATTTTATACTTATATGATAAAATGTATGTAATGTAAATTTTATAAACTATGCTGAAACTGTATAATTAAGAAAGTAAAGAGTATATTTTTATTTACTTATTTAGTACTAAGTCTAAAAAATAATAAAATTTCAATAGTCAGATATAAATGTACAATTTATTTATAAAAATGTATACTACCAACAGTAATTAGATCTACCATAAATAATTAAAATTAATATTATTTAACCAAACAAAAATAAAAACAACTAAACAAAATGGGTATCAGGAATTCACTTTGTCTTTATACAAATTGTGTGGAAGAAATTGATTATATTGTTTCTACACAATACATTGTTTAGATACCTTAATAAAGTTTATAAAAATATAAGTAAAAACAAACAAATAATAAATATAATATATTTAGTGGGTTTTAACTTAAAATGTTCTCAAGTGTGAGATATTTATAAAATACTGGTTGATACTGTATGGTGTTGTCTGTGACAAATCAAATAATGCCAGCAAAATTGAATCAGTCTTTAATTCCATTAAATGAAAACTACACATTCTTAATACTCAATTGAATTGTATTAACCAAAAATAAAATGTAGGCTTAAGATTATATAAAATTATAATGGCTATTACAGAGTATGTATACCAAGTTAAAAAAATTTTGCTATAAAATAATATTATCTATTTTTACATTTTATAACCCTTTAAGGAATGAATTTAGGAAAATTCTTTCTAAGTGGGTTTTTATAGTCTTTATCACAAAATCAAACAACTGATCTAATGTCATATTAATAGCTTCAATGGTTATGGCTTGACAATGATGAATCAGTGAGTAAGGACATGTTATTTTATGTATAAAAAATTGATTGATAATATTCAAATATTGAGTTTAAACTTAAAAATTATCAGTAGACCACATATTGGGCGCTAAAAGTGTAAATGTATTGGATAATAAATTAATATTAATAAATGATGTAATCAAAGGCAATACACGACAACAATAAGTATTAAATAAAATTAAGCTTACTTTAGATTTTGATGAAATAGAAAGATTTTCTAAATTATGTTTCAATAGCATCATCTTAAGATATGTCGTATTATTTTCAACGGATGGCTTAGATTTTTTCTTTTTTGGTAATTCTACAGTAGATATTTTTCTAGACACATTTTTTCACATATATTATACTATTAAAATTAAATCAGAAATATTTTAAAACTTACTTAGAGGATTCCTTTAAGTTTGTTAAAGAACCATCACTATTTTCAATTACACGAAGCAAATTAATAACTTCGCCTTCACGAAATATTAAGACTGCAAGCTTACTACCTGGAGGTGCATCTTCTAATATTTCTTTTCTGTAAGATTAACAATAACAGTTATGTAAGATAACATTATATAAGAGATATTATATTATGATATAATTAATACTATGGCTTAAAATTCAGAGAACTGAAAGTCAATAATCATTTTTCTAACATTACTGTATAGATTTTTGTTATGACTATAGAAAATCTGTAAAAAAAATAATAACTTCTTCAATTACCAACTACATTTGATATTCGATCATTAAGCAGATTTAAAAAATATAAAATCATTCTTTCTACCCAGGTATTCAAAGAAAGCAAATCAAAAAATAATCATTATAATAAGTCTGAAACATAACTCTTTTCACTTAAAGTCTAAAATTGTTGCATAATTGGTATATGACTAATAGTAATTAAAATTAGTCATGATAACACTATAATTTGATGTGTTTATGAAAATCTATTCTGAATTAGAATGTACAAAATATGAAAAAATTATCTAATCATTTATATCAGAAGCTTATGCATTATAAAAATACCAACAGTTCTATTTTATGGGAAATTTAACTTAAAAACTTGGAAAAAAAAATCTTTATTAATATCACATATTAAATAAAGAAATAGTTTACTAATTTAACTCGTGTTTAGTACCTACAAATGTAATATATAACTATTTTTTGTTTATCAATTTCTGTTGATTATATAAAAGATAAATTAAAAATACTTAAGAAAATAATAATTGTAGATATATAGGTAATGTAATACACTATTACATATAAAGTAAATATTTGGTTGAACTTAAATTTATAACTTACTTATTTAGATTAACCAATTGTCGAATAGTTTCATTGTCCAAGGGCAGCATTCTGCGACTTGTGCCAATAGGTCCACCTTGTAAGGACAATACCAATCGCAATGTTGATCCATCATGAAGATTATTATTAGCTATGGTTGTATGGTCAGATAATATTTTTTCGCCTAGGAGCAAATGTTGCTGGTTGACTGGTATACCTAAAGAATAATTATCAAAATATTGAATATCAGAAAACAAATTAATAGAAATTTAATTATAATACAAACCTTCAACACGTTGTATTCGAGACTTCAATGAACTTATATAGTCAGTTGGGCATACAGTAATTTCAAATGTTGTACCCGTTAGTGTTTCTATAGTAAGAGATATAGGTGAATCATCCAATTGTTCATTGTCAGGATTTGATCTCCATCTTTGTTTGCGTGACATACCTAAGTGAATTTACTAGGTATATTGTTGTACTATTGGTGTTGTCTAAACATTTTATTATTTCGATTAAAACAACAATACCTGGAAAAATGAAATTTATACTAATGATGACATCATTCCCAGTTGCCATAAATGGTGCAACAAAGTTCAATAGCTATTGAATTGAGATTATAATTTATAACATATATATTATATAACATGCCTTTATTATAAACGGTGAGATAGTGTGTGACCTTAGGCCTCAAAGCCAAATACAATAATAATACGCATTTTATATTTTGACTGAGCATTTCATTGCACTTGAACGACAGCTAGGTAAATACTTACTTTGTCCAAAACGATGTCTATAATGGCAAATGTTCGAAGTAATCACTCTTGAAATCCACTACCTACAATCAGCTCGATAATTGTTGTAAATTCGTCGGCTCTCCCAGGTGATGAGCAACGAGCGTCTTAGAACAACAAAGAGATAATACTATAGGTAGTGGATGTTAATGACAGTGATTTTGAAGGCGCATAGCGTGAAATGTGAACGACTCAAATGCGGAAATGGTAGCTATTTCGCCGTTGGTGATGGTGGTGGGTCAGTAGGTGATCGAACTAATGATAATAGACTTTTTCTTTATTATTATTATTATTATTATTATTATTATTATATTGTCGAATTTGAACACACTGTGCGAGGCGGATAGTGAATAATAATAAAAAAAATAACAAATGATTAATCCACCGACAAGGACGTTGCGCGCTCGTGCGCCGAAGTGTACGCGCGTCACGAAAAAAGAGAAGACGGCGACGACGACGACGACGCGAGGACAGGGTGTCGAAGTTGGAAAGGTGTGTGCCCGGTGCCGTGTGGGGGACCCCAGAACGGAAGTGTTGAGGACTGTGCCGACTGTGGACTGAGTAGACGGAGACGGGAGAGATAATAAATTATGGCAAAATAAAAATAATAATAATAATACGACGATGACCGACGGCACACGACCACATTACCGTGGGAATTACAAATTCACGACACCTCGTCACCTCCTTACTATCAATTTTTAATTTCCCTCTCGACGCCCGTCGGCCACGACTCCCTCCAAAATCTAAGGCTCTAGCGTACACCTATACAGCATACAATGTACATAATATTGTATACATTTTTCATTAATATATTATATTTATCATAATTTATCTATAATTCTCAACAGAGTCGCGATTTTTATTAAAACCTTACTTGCTTTACTAGCGGACCACCAGTCGATAACAGGACACAGATAAAATAGCTATCGTCATGTCAAATGTCTATTTTTAATACATAATATAATATAGCTAAGGTTTATGATGTATTGTCACGTTTAAGGTGTTTGTTTCTATCATGACGAAATGGATACACTTTGTTTAACGTTTTGTTAATCGTTATTTATTAAATAAATAATAAATATTAAATGCGTCGTGCACCGGCTCGGTCATAATATACAAAGGTCGAGTAGTCGTCGAGAAATAATTTTCATATTACCGTATGTAGCGACACTGGTTTGCCAATTCGCGCCATTCACCTTAATCAATTCGTCAGAACGTTGGATCTTCCTTTTTAATTTTTAAGCAAACCGGCCGCTAAATTGCAGAATGCAGACTTGACAACTTTGTATGGACTATGGAGGTGGACGAGAGATGATGTTACTTATATCGATTATTGGGTATATACTTCAAAGCGTTTAGCGATTCACGAGAATTTTAAATTTGTTTTGATCGTAATCGAATCGTGATTTAACTTATTCTTTTATGAACACCTATCTTCTGACAATGCTGTTTTGTTTTTCGTATTAGTTTTAATAGTTTTTACACGTTTTTGGAAAATATCGAAAATAATACAATATGATTGTTTTTTGATGAAAACTTACTTTTACAAATAATTATGGTTTTGTGCTTAACTTTTTGTTTAGACGTGATTTAGATTTAATTTTTTTTTTCTTTAATTGTTATTAGTGATTTTGTATTGTATTTTTGCATTCGACAAGTATTTTACTATTTTTTATTAGTACGTCAAGTGTTAAATATTTATTCTTCCGTATTTTTCTATTAATTAATCATTACAATGGAAAACATCGCATCAACTTCCCAAAATGGCGATGATTCAAGAGTTGCAATCAAAAAACGCAAAGTTGATCACAAAGTCGAAGGTTCGATTGTTAAAGTGGTACTTAAGAATTTCATGTAAGTTGGTTTTTACATCCATAAAACCCATAAAAATGATAATTTAGTTATGATTTTATGAACTATTGAATTTATCTTAGTTGTAAATTATCAGAAACTTAAAATATCATTTTTTATGTAGATATACATATTTATTTTAGATTTTTATTATATAAATTATTAGTAATAGTCTCGTGTAGATTCAATTTTTTGCTAGTATCTTCTTATCCTTATTTAATTTAACTATAAATTATATAATAATACAATTTTATTGTAGGCATCAAGTTGATTTCTAAAATTACTCATAATTTACTATTTACCGCTTAACTACATGTAATTCAATTCCATTGTTTCATGTCTACCTAATACAAATTAACAGTTATTTTACACACATTTCTATATTATTTACAAGTAATATAGAAGTAATTCTTTTATTTAGTATTAAAAGATTTCAAAATTGTTAATTGTTGTAATGTAGGTATTTATGTAATTTGACTTGGTTTCTATTATGTTTAGTTAAGAGTTGTACTATTATATAAGTACTTAATATCCATTTCCAACAAATATATGAATTTTTTTTTTGAAGAACTCTAAAGTATTTTTTTTAAGTTATTATCTAATTAGTCAAAGATATTTATATTTAATTTTGTAGGACTTTTACTGATGTTGTGTATACTCCACATTCAAAACTGAATTTAATAATTGGACCCAATGGATCTGGAAAATCGTCGATTGTTACAGCTCTCATACTGGGATTTGGTGGTAATCCAAAGGACATTAATAGAGGAGACAAAGTTAGTATAATTTTAGTTACATCATAAAATATCATCAGAAAATTTTATACTTATATGTAATACTTCAATTAATAACACAGGTGTAATTAGGTACCAGAGAAGCAAAGTAATTGCTGCCTTCTCCTACAAATACTTATTTTCTCTCTAAGTTCAATATGAATAAAACTGTAGCTATAATATTAATTAGGGAATGATTAAAAATAATATTTGGTTTTATTTAATATTTTAGAATTTATCTGTTGTATCTATCAATTATCACCATAATTTTCATTTTATAAAACTGATTCATTCCAATCATTAATGTGTAAATTTCATTCAAATTGTTTGAATGATGGTAGTAATTAAGAATTGATGATCGTTAACTTAAAATGTTGGAGTAATAAGTTATCATTATACACTAGAGTTAAGACTTTTATACTCTAATACATTTTTAAATTTGCATTTAAAGCCTATACTTACACTTGTAATAAAAATATCCATAACAAATTAGTAAATTTAATTTTTATAAAATGTACTCAGTAAATATTTGTCAATACGTAACATAATCATAATTTAATTAAAACATTTTAACTGGCTCAAGAAAAATATTTATCTTTGTTCGTTATTTACATCTTAAACTCCAAACTATATATTTAAAATCATAAATATGTAAAGAAAAATTATTATTTCATTATATAAGAAAAAAATAAACAAGAGTGATCATCAAAACATACCTTTTAATTTGGATTGTCATTATATTTATCTATTATATGTATAAATTACTTGTAGGTTAGTCAATTTGTAAAACTAGGTAAATCTGCAGCAGAGATTTCTATAGAACTTTATAAGAGATCAGATCAAAATGTGAATTTAAAAAGGACAATATATGCCAGCAATGATACTTGTAACTATTATGTCAACAATGCCTTAGTCACAAAAAAAAAAGTAAATATTAAAAAATATTGTACTATTGTATAATGTTAATAAATGTTGTCATTTTTTTCTTCTATTTTTAGTACACTGATGTTGTTGAGAGCTTTAATATAAAAGTGCATAACTTATGTCAGTTTTTACCACAAGACAGATTAGAAGATTTTTCAAAATTAGATTCTAAAGGTTTATTGATTAATGCTTTACAAAGTATTGGTAAGTTTTTAACATGTTGTAAGGTTTGATAAATGCCTTTTGTTTAGTTCTTTTATTATGTTAATATAGAAAATAAAGACTTATTGAACAATTTCGAAAAGTTAAAATCTCTTGCTAGTAGCATGACTACATATGATGTCGATAAAAAGAATTTACAAGATAGAATTAAATCAGAGGTTGCTGTAAATCTAAAGTAAGCATGTATCCTTTAAGGGGTTGAAAGTAGTAAACTGTCTTTTTTACTATATATGCAACATAGATATTTAGATTGGTTCTATTACTAATGAACTAATTGATCTAGTAAAGTGTATGTTGCATGAGAAAGTATGCAGCTCATGCATCCAAATAAGAATATAATGTATTTTGCTGTGTTAATTATATAGGCTATATTTTATTCACTATAAAGTAACTGATGTATGCACTATGCATAAAGCTGGAAGTAAATTAAACTGTTTTTTAATGGGAATATGCGAGAATCAAAACATTCAGGTGTCGTATGCATTTCTTATGACAAGTGCTCTGTAAAAAAGAATTTATCTAAAGATTTACATTTTTTGTAATCTATTTCAGTTAAACTTTATCATATTTTTGATTTTTTTTTCAAGAAATAAATTTAAATATCTTTTTAGCTTTTAATTTTGTGATTTAACAATTTTTTAATTGAGTAGATAAAATCAAAAATATGAGAAAAAATTCAAATTTTTTTTTCAGAATTCTTATCATATTACTAGAACAATTATTGTCTTAAAACAGAACATATAAATTTTATGTTGAACCAGAAAGACAGAAAAAAATTGCTTTCAATCCTCTTAATATCATTCGCTTATATTTTCAATATTAACATTTTTCATTTATAGGCTAGAAACAATTGTCAGTACATTCACCGAAAAAAAATCATTAGAAGAACAATTATTAGTTGTGATACAGAAGAGATGTTGGACCTTATATGTATTGGCTTGGCAACAGATTTCTGGTGTATGTATATATTATTGTATTTAGTACACAAAATTATGTATAGTGAGGCCCACTTAGTAAGAATTTCATTATAATTTTAACTATTTATAAAATTATTGAAAATGTTATGATATTAATCTAAAAAATTATATTTTTAATCAACACTAATTACAAAATATATGTCATTATGAATACGTTAATTAATTTTTTTTTTTTGGAGTAATGTGTTGATTATAGATGAAATAATGGTCTTGGGCATGATTATCCAAGTGTTAAAATGTGTAGATCTGTCACTTACACTAAAAAAAATATAAAACTGTGTACTGAACGTATTAAAAATTAAATATCAAACATATTATTTTTTTGAATGATATGAATCAATATTATTAAAAGTAAAAAACTTTTATATTGTATTCATCCTCATATTTTTTGTTCATAGGAAAAAAAAAAATTTGAAGAATCAAAGAAGCATAATAATGTTGCCTTGAGTCTTATCAATCAACAAAGAGAAAAAATAAAAAATAAAAAATTAGGGGAAAATAATTTGAAAAATGTCATTCTTCAGAATGTAATTAACTAAATCTACCTAAATAACATTCTGGATAATTTAAGAAAATATTTGTTTCGTTTAGGCAAATGCAGTAATTAAGTTAGTAGAAAAACTTAATAATCAAGTCGGAGCTGTTGAATGCCATTTATCTGATATAAATGAATTTAAAAAAAATGTTAAAAAAAGGTCAATAAAAGTTGAAGACCTTACAGAGTCCATATCATCTATAGAAGAGAAGTTACAGAGTATAAAAAATGAAACATTAAATGTTGAAGGTAAAATTAAATTCTTAAATATCTCATTATTCATTTTTTGTTTTTGATATTAAAATGAGTAATTATATCTTATCTAGAGTGTAAAATGGAACTTACCGAAATAAATAAAAACATCAAAAATATTGAATTAAATATTTATCCTATGAGGAGTAACTTAGAGAGTGTTAAAAACAAATTGAAAGGTCTAACTGAAAAAATGTATGGTTAGTATTTTCATGCTATTTAAATAAAAATAATGTGCTGTATTAGTTTCATGTAATAGTTGCTGTATTTAAATATTTATTTAATTTTTATTGAATTATTTATATTTTATATTAAGCTATCGATCAAGAACTTGAACGTGAAAAAAGAAAAGAAGATGGCAAAAATCAATTACTGCAAAGAAAGTTTCCAGAAATATGGAAAGCAATAAAATGGCTAAGAAACTGTGACAAGTTAACAATTTTTCGTGGACAAGTATTTGAACCATTATTCACTCAGGTATTTTGTATTAAAAAAAATATTTTATTATTTATTTAGTTTTTAGTTATGTGTTTATACACTTAATAATAATTATAGATTGAACTTCATGACCAAAAAAATGCTAAGTATATAGAAAACATTATCAATTATCGTGATATGATTGCATTTGTTTTTGAGTATGGAGAAGATATGACAATATTTAATAAAATAGTAAAACAAGAACATTGGAAAAAAATAAATTCAATCTCAGCTCCTCCTGCCCATATTAACATTAATGAGCTACCAAATTATGATATAAATAGTTTAAGGTAAGCAATTAAAATAGGTACCTACTTAATAAAACAATGATAGTTTTAAATGAAACATTTATACTAAAAAAGTCTTGCCAACATTATAAAGTTATATATTAATTATCAAATAATTTACATAATCTGCGTTAAGATATAAAATTTAATAGCTTAAAAATATAATGAATTTAAAAAAAGTTGTTTCCCATTCTGTTATATAAATTTTATTATAATTTATTATTTATAAAATTGTTATTAATTCAAACTTTGATATTATGATTTATTTGTATTCAAACTTAGTATGTTTTTATGTTTGAAACAGACAATTTGGATTCTATACGTATGCATTAGATATGATACAAGCTCCATCTGTTATACGGAGATATCTAGCTAAAAATTATGACATGCAAAATATACCTATTGGTTCCAAGGAAGTTATTAATAATCTGCAGAGGTTACCCAGTAATATTGGGTTCTTTTTTGCAGGTAATACAACAAGATTGAAATTGAAATATTTATTATTATTAATTATATTTTTATATTATGTTATTTAATTTTATTTACAGGTAACGATCAAGTTCATATAAAAACTTCAAACTATACAGGAGAAAAAATCACACGACAAACACAAATATCAAATGAGTCACAATTTTTGCTATTTTCTGTAGACTCAAATTTGATTAAATCGCTTACTGTCAAGTAAATTGTTATTGTGATTTTATAATTCTTACTTATAAGTAGTGCTTAGAGATTAATGACATTTTCATTTTTTTTTTTTTTTTTTTTTGGAATCTCTTAGATAATGTTTTCCTAGCTTAAATATATTATTAAGAAAATTAGAAATGAAATGATAAAATTATCATAACATCAATCTAAATGACTTATTTTAATTTTGCATTTTTATAGCTCTTTGTAATTTTGGACTATTTTTAACCAATTTATACTTATTTAAACAAAACCAATTTTCTTGTGATCCATGCACAACTGTTGGGTTAAAATATAAATAAAATTAAATTAATCAACTGATAAAAATATTAATAATTTTTTTCATGAAAATAGGAATGAACTACTAATTTTACTGTATTATTATTTATTATTCAATGTAGACATTTGATTTATAAAGTTTATTAATAAAAGTATATTTTATTTTTTTATATTTGTTTAAATTAAATTTTTATAGGGCAGTTTTTAATATTTCTAATGAGTTTTTAACAATAAATTATTATATTTTAACAATTATTTAAAAATGAAGTATATGAAAAAAAATAATAATATTTATACAATAATTTAAAAATAATAATTCAAAAGACAAAATAAAATAAATTATGATAACAATCAATAGCAGCTGGTATACACAAAGTGATTCATAATATGTTACAGCCATTTTAGCATATAAATATAATTAACTGATAAAAATGTTTATTACAAAAGTGTTTTTATTTAAATTAATCTAAAATGATTAGCAATTTTTATATTTAGTTTTTTAACGATATTTTAAGGCGTTGTTTTGGGGACAATTTAAGAAATTTAAATTGGAACCTATACTTATTTTGCAACTATAATATGAAGAATTATTTTAAAAGTATTTTAATCTGTAAAAATTGATATTCAAATGAGTAGCCTTTTAAGACTTTTCAGTTTGGATGAGAGGAGTAGAGTGGTACAAGGATACCATGCAAAATGTTGGTTTTAGTTTTTATTTATCTGATATTTTATGTGTGGTTTATTTAAAGTTTAGTTGAGCGAAGTAGTAGATCAACATTTTATGTGGTACCACTTGACTCCTTTCATAAAAACTCTTAAGCTACTTCCGGAATATTATTTTTTAAGCATTAAAATACTTTGAAAAAAAGTTCTTCACATTTAGGATTGCAAAAAAAATGTTGGTTCCCATTTGAATTTTTTAAGTTGATCTATAAGACCTCACCATTTGTTAAATGATATAAAAATGACTTGTAATTTAAAATATTTCTGACTAAAAAGCTTTTATTTAAAAATTCATCTATGATAAATATTTTATATTTATATGATAAAATGTCTGTGACATAAATGTAGTATTGCCTTGTACAGAAATTATAGTTAAAATAAAAATAGAGATGAATTATATAAATAGATTTTTTATGAGTATCTTTGGTTAGGTAATAATAATAACTTGATATTATTTTTGTTCTCAACACATGCATTATATTTTTGAAAAACGCCAAAATATGTATGATAATTCAAAATATATAAATATTATTATGCAAAATATATAAAATCAAATTTGATCCAATAACTCATTAGGCTCATATTTAAATTTGTATCTTACCTAGTTATCTTTTTAATTAATCAATATAAATATGCAAATACAACAGTTTCAGATCTTAATTATTAGTGTTCTAAATTGTAGTTTCATATCTATCATGATATTTTTTAAATAAATTTATTTGTTTTCATCAACATTTTGTCAATGTGAATTTTTCAGGAAAGAAGAAGTTAGAGTAAATTGTGAACATTTTGAAAAACAACAAATTGAATTAAATAATCAGCTCAGAATCACTGAAGACAGTCGTCAGCCTTTTATTGCTAGGAAAAAAGAAATACAAGGAAATTTTATGAAATTTCAAAATAGACAACAAGCTTATGATAAAATAATAAAAGATGTGGAGTTTAAAAAATGTGAACTTAAAACAGAAAAAGAAATGTTGATTAAATTATCAAGCCAAAATTTGGTTTGTTTATTATATGTTATTAAATATTAATCATTCATTAGTTTATTAATTGGTTTTGTATTGTTAGCAATTAATCAATAAGTATTTTGATTCAATGAATGGAGTTATTGAGACGATGGACAATTATTCAATAAGCATAAATGATTTGATTGCTTCAACTTCTATTGTTAGAAATTGTTGCGTTGATATGAAAGAAGAAAACAAAGTTTTAAAGCAATTAAAAAAACTCTATGAAACTAACTTGGTATATATATTTGTGAATTCAAAATGTTTGTTTAGTTAATTGAATATTTTATAACTTGCATCTTATTCTTAGAACAATTTCAATGTTTACCTGAAGTACATACAAAAGTTGGAATCAGAATTCAAGAAAATATTAGATGTTGCTTTACATTGGTCTAGAGGATTGTCTCCATATGATAAAACTTTATTTTTAACCATGAAGAGAAAATTAGACGCTATAGAACAGGAAGACATTGACGATTTAGATGAATTAATTGTTGAGAAAAAAGCCAAACTCAACTGCCTTCACACTGATCAAAATGCTCCTCAAGTAAATTGAAAACAAATGCTAAATTTTTATTTTTATAAAAATAATAATGTATAACAATAATAAATAGACATAAATTATATTTTTTATTGATTATATTATAGTTAATAACAGAATACAAGGAACGTAAAATAAAAATAAAAAATCTAGAAAAGACATTGGAAAATTTAAATCAGAGTGCTCATACCAAAGAATATGAAATTGAAAGATTATACTCTGAATGGTTTCCAAAAATACAAGAACTTAAAAATTTATTATGTGTTAATTTCCAAAAGTTTCTCTTATCGTTTGGTTGTAGTGGTGTAATTGAATTAGACGTTGGTGTGACGAGGGTAAATATTCTATAGTTTCTATTCCTATTAGCAATGAATTTAATTTATGAGTTAAATCCAAATTACGGTTTATAGTACGATTTTCAAGCATATGGGCTATTGATAAAGGTGCAATTTCGGAATGATATTCCTTCGTTGAGACTATTAGACGCCAAATGCCAAAGTGGTGGTGAACGTGCACTGACAACAGCGATATTTTTGTTGTGTCTCCAAGAAGTTACACATTTTCCATTTAGAATTGTTGATGAAATTAATCAGGTTTGTTGATTATTAAAATTAAACATTTATGATAATATTCAATGTTAGATAACTATTTAATGACATACAATTATATTTTTAGGGCATGGATAAAGTCTATGAAAGGAAATTGATGGAATTGTTCATGGAGTTATTTGAAGATAGGCACAATCAGTATTTTGTAGTTACACCAAAGGTCTGTTAAATGTATTCGTATAAAGAAGGGGGATTTTTTTCTATAAAATCTTGAAAGTTTTTATTTTATTTTAATGGTTAAAGCAGAACTTCACTATTAAGTTATGTTTTTAAGTGTTAATTTGTTTTTTGAACATATTGCAGCCAAACAATTTATTATAAAACAATCTCAAATAATTGCATATTTTATGTCCTTGTGATGAAAATGTGTGGGTATCTTCTGTATTGAATCTACCAATATAGGTTTTTCAATATTTGTTTTATTATTGAATATAATCCGAATATTTGTATCATATCATTGCAAAATAATCCTTTATTAATTAATTATCTTAAATCAAATGACATTAGTGATGAAAATTAATTCTGGTGTCATGTAGATTGTGTTAAATTTAATGATTTAAATCATTTGTATAATAATAATAATTAATGTGATATGTATATATTAAAATTAAAATTTTTTAATTTTTCAACTTAAAATTTACTAAGATAATAATAATACATAATATACATTAAGTAATATAATACCAAGTGTGCGTTCTTGGAATTATAATTTATTTTTTGGTAAATATTATACAATATTATCATATCTAAATATTATTGTCAGTTGAATATTAGTTTAAACAAACGCTAAATATTGTAAGCAGTAATTGAAACAAATCATATTGATTTAATAATTTTTATTTTCTAATTTCAGTTGATCACGAATCTCACATTTAAAAATACTACAGTGGATATTATATTTTGTATCGATAAATAAAGAATTGAACATGACCATTGGAAACTTTTTTTTATCCTATCACTTAAACGAATGACTCAATATTATATCAAATTTTGTAAGTTCTTTTACTATTAAATATTAAGATTATTCAAATTTTTTTTTTAATCATCTAAATTTTATGTTATTTATAATTTTTGAGTTATTGTTTATATTCATGTTTCATATTCATATTCATAAATTATTTAAGACTTAAATATTTAAGAAAATATGTATAACTATTTTAAATGCATATCATTATACATGAATAGGTATTAAAAAAATACATTATTAAATAATTTTGGTTTGTTTGTGTTTTTTTTTTATTATTATTATTAATTCACAAATTTATTATACACCAACTCATAAAAATCATACTTAATATCTACCGTCTATATAATATCTAAAAAAAATATAATAATAATTATAATAATAAACAAAGATTGTACAATTAAATATTTGTAATCAACTCACGTCATAATGATTATCTAAAATCAAATATACAAAAAAAAAAAACTGATAATAATGTGTTAAGGCACTAATTAACCCATAATAGTATATAAATATTTATATTCAAATGAATTATTTAATTGTTTTATTATAAATACACAATATATTATTTATTATTAATAAATAAATTATAACTATATAAAAATCTAAACACAGTATCTAGTTGAAAAAAATATTTGTATATATATATATATATATATATATATACATACATATATATATATGGCAGCCGTGAAAATCAATACGAATGTATACCGAAAAAATTCTATCACAATACTTGTTTAAAAAAAAAAAAAATCAAATTCATTATCGCATAGGTGTTATGTACCGCCGTGTCCGCGATGGCATAATATTATCATGTTATGGTTTTTTATTTTATTACTTTTTTTTTTTTCATTAAATTTCATCCGTTTTTTTCGCGCTCTCGTCGTTTAAAATGTTTATCCTCTCCGATGAAATCCCCAGCGATCATCCTCCAGCTGTGCGATCAGGACGGTATTAACTGACGGCTGGGAATGATAGGTCACCGACCGCGTAAAAAATACATTTAATACGAAACACATTCGTCGGAAAGGCGGCAGTAAAAACATCATGATGTGGCGCGTGTTTGGCTTTAACCGGGCAACAGAGTGGTTTACGTGGGTACCCAATAACCGTATGCGTATAGATGTGGGTGTACCAAATACGCTGGAAACGGATCACAAATTAACGTTTTCGCCAAATTTCTAGTCCCGGAGCCTACGACAACGGGGTCTGCGCGCCCGTGATCCCTTCCCCCCACTTGTCGCCACTCGCCCAACATCACAAGAGCGACGTACCAATGGAAATAAAACGCTTTATTATGATATTGGCGATTTTTTTATATTGTTTACATGTCACGATGTCCTACATTATAATATTATTACGATGACGGTGGCAGACAATACAATGTCGTGTCTGAACCTGTACAATAACCCAACACAACGATAGTATCGAACACCGCAATATAATGTTGTTTTATTTATGACGGACTACGCGAGCCACCTATGACATTATAATGTTAAGTGTATGAATTATAACAGATAGTAATATTATATTATTTCGATGTCTTAAAGTTTTAGTCGTTTTAGAATAGTTTTACCGTGATAAAATATGATAATAATATGTAGATCGCTCGCACGACGTGTATTTGTTGGCCCGTTCGCGCACACGTTTTTTGTAACCAATAATTATAGTATATTATTAATTATTAATCTATATAAAGAATATATATATTATGTATATATATTAAAACATTTTATGTACAGCGTTTGGAGGGGGGAGGGTTGTGTTTGTACAAATAATAATAATAATGAATCAATATCACAAAAGAAAAAAAAATTAATGAAACCGCCAAACGAGGTGGGAGGAACCGTTTCCAAAAATAAGTTACACGATTCAAAATATAATAATAATAGGTAAAGTGTATATTAAAATATAATATGTACTTACATTAATAATATTACAAAACGAGAACTTGGTCTGTTAAAAGATGATTAGGTAATAATAAAATTAAAATTAAAATAATAATTATAATAATAATAATAATAATAATAATAATAATAATAGAAATAATAAGCGAGACTAGTTTTAGAAAAAAAAAAAAATAATAATAATAATAATAAAGATAGTGATCGACTCGGAGTCTTAAAAAAAAAAAAAAAAAAATGTATTTATCTATATATACATAGCTATATTATATAATTATTGGCGTATAAGTGACCATACGGAGGTCTATTATACGTCGTGTGACCGGGTTAAACGACGAGACGGGTACATATACCGTGGTTATAATAGTCTCTGGTTGTGTGTGTGTGTGTGTGGGAGTGTGGCGAGAGGGTGGCGGCCACCTCTGTACACGAGACATGGTCGCGCAGAACATCGAAAAAGATGTGACTTGCTATACAAATATACGATTGAGCGTTTACACCAATAATGATGGTAATATCATACCTGTACGGCGTACACACACATGACATATTATTATTATTAATATTATATACATCGTGAGCGCATATAAAGGTAATACTAGGTAAACACGGTATGATATATACAATAAATTATAATAATATATTATTTAAACATTATTTCCCCCCCCTCTCTCTCTACTTATATACAACAATATTATGGGTAATAATGGTACGTAACATAATAATATGATAATATACACAACAATATCGACACTGTTCCGCGTATATGATACATAATATATACGTATATAGGTACACCCTGTATATGTGTATGTGTGTGTATACAAAATAAACGATTAGACCAAAACGAAAAAAGAATTATACATCGCGAAAATATACTTAAAATTCGATTACCTACTACATAATATTACTATATATTATACGTTAACGTTATTATTACATCCATCTCGTAGTATATAATAGTACCTATACACGTATATAAACACATATATATATATAAATCGTAACAATATATATATATTTTTTTTTTAACAACGAATTCATTATTATATAATTGGTATCATCGCGTTTTTGACGTACATACCTATAACATACTATACAATACATTGAAATCGACGAGCGTACATGATAATAAATAATAATATATATATATATATTATATATATATCGTAATGTTTAAATCATAGGCGTGTATGTCTATATAGGAACTGATATATACATAATATAGACAGAAAGAGAGAGAGAGAGACCGGGAGGGCGAGAGAGAGAGGGAGAGAGAGAGACGCGGCGTGCAGATCTGCGTATAGGTATACGCGTAGTCGACGGCGCCGGAGACGGAGACGGATCACTCCATGTGCCGATACTTGTGAGCAGTCATCTGGGAAAGGCCGAGCACGGCGTACTGGCAGCTCAAGCAGTGGTAGTGCGTCTGCTTGCCAGAGTGCACGCAACCGCCGGGCTGGCCGCACGCCTGCGCCGGGGTGAACTTCTCGAAGCCCGCGGCCATGATGGAGTCGAGCTTCTGGTGCTGGCGACGGTGGGCCACCACTTTGTTGGTGTCGGTGCACACGAACTCGCACTTGAGACAGTGGAAGTGCGACGCCTTGTTCTGGCCGGAACCTGTGTGCGGGTTAGAAAAACGGGTTAAAAAAAAAAATAAAAAAATGTAAAGTCATGCAACGATAACGATAAACGGGACACCGATGGCGGGGGATGGCGTGGGTGGTTAAGCGCGCGCGATAACTAACGCGAGGTGGCACGCGCGGCGGGTCCACGGAAGTCGGAGGGGGACGCGAATCGCCGAGCGGTTGGGGGGGGATTTCTTTTAAACGTCCGAAGACCCGTTTCAGTTGGTTTTTCGAGACATTCCGATCGGTTTCTTACGTAAACGTTAAGTTTTCTACTACCCCACGTCTCTCGGACGCGTCCAGTACCCGTTCCACACACTCGCGTTAAAATTTGAATATTGTATGGGAATGCATCGAATCACAAAAATACGATTACAAACTGCGATTTTGAGAAACCAGAGTGTTTCTCGATTGAACGTTAAATAATCGTGTAAGTATAATATTATCGTACACGCGTGTGTAGGTACTGTTGTCGAAGTGTTAATATTTTTTTCCGTAATATTAATTGAGCTTATATACGGTTTTTCTTTATCAGCGCCTATTAGTTAAATCGATATACCTATATCGATTCTAAAAATTCTGTCGGTCGAGAAAAGTTTCTGTTTACGTATGGGGGACATTGTTTTACGCGGCGAAAGTCGATTATTATGGACACGGTCAGAAGGTGTACTCACTTATGGCAGAGATGTAAGTGCACTCAGATCGCCCGCACGACACGTTGGCCCTGTACTGCTGGAAGTCGCCTCCCATCAGAGTATCGAGTCTGCGGAAACAAAAAAAAAAAAAAAAACAATGGTCAGATATACTCTATGTACATTATAATTATGGTGTTTTATCTGAACGCACCTCTCGTGTCTGGCCGTGTGCTGCACGAATCTGGTCTTGTCGCAGAAACTGTAACCGCAGTCCTGGCGCATGCAGTGGAAGTGCGTCTGGTGCTCCCTGTAGCCGCAATGCGCGTAATGGCAGTCCTCGTTGAACCGAAACCGGAGGTATCCCTCGGGAACCGGTTCGTCCTTGAGGATGCGCATCGAATTTTGGACGCGCGCCTTCCTCATTTCCGGGCTCATGTCCCGCGACGGCGACACCGGCAGGTTGACGTGGTGATGCGGCGCCGCGGCCGCTGTCCCGTCGCTGCCGCCGGCCGCCTCGCCGCCCCGGTGGTGGTTCAGCAGCCCGTTGTGACCGGCCGCCGCCAACATGGTCTGGTGGTGGTTGAAGCCGGGTGGCGGCGCGAACATCAGACCTATAAAATCGGGAAAACCAACCGTTACTCGTATACCGATCATCGTGATGTCATTATCGTTTCATATAATAATATGTTGTTGTTAACGCGAGGAGTTTGCGCGGTATCGCTGGTAATAGATCGGTCGAACGCGGTCACCGTGTCCGCCGGGTTTAAATTATTATTAACACCGATTTTCACTGTCCACCGTGGAAAAACCATAAAAAATATTACACATAAAACACCACTATAGTTATATTTTTTATGCTCGCAGTCGTCTATTATTCGCATTTGGGTCATGTGGTCTATACAGACTACACATCGTGTGCTGTGTGTATGCATTAACGACGAATTCGTCTCACTCGTTCTCACTCGCTTATACTTCTTTGATGTACGCAACTTTAAACTAAATTATGAATCCGTACAATATCCGTAAAACGAATTCCCCGGCAGTGTTTATTGTACGTACTTGAATATAGCTTGTACAAAAGGCCGCGTGACCATAATTTTTAGAACGAATTTAAGTAAGACTATAAAATCACGATTTGAGAATGCAGCGCGTAATGATTTATGTCACATCGCGGTACATTTGTTGGTAGATTTATAACACAGCTTGAGATTTTTAAAGGTTTTTGGACCAGAAAACGATTGGCAGCGGTTTGCGCGTTATTTATATATATATATATATGCTGAATTCGAAAGGCGATACAAAAAAAAAAATTAACCATCACGCTGGCCGATCATATTATGATGTCAATTTTTTTTCTTTTTATTGTTTTGACGAAAACGGTTTGTGTGGTGAAGTGTACTTACTTGTCGGCGACGAGTACATGGCTTGAATGGCGTGCGGCATGAAAGGCAACCCTTGGGACGTCATCAGAGATGCAAACTGTTGGTTTGCCATAGCGGCAGCCATGGCTGCACCGAATCCCGGTGGATACGGCGAGTGCGGCATGCCGCCGGCGGCCGATGAGTTGCTATCGTTCGAAATCGGCATCATCGTCAGTGCTGCAGGAAATATCACGAAAAGAATAATTATTATATTGTTAATTGCTGTTATCTCGGTAAATAGAACCGTTTTGAGTTTTTAAAATACAACTAATGAAATTCAAGTGGATTAGAAAAGTTTACGGTCAGGAGATATGTACGTATTATTTATGGAATTTTGGTCGACCGGGTAAATCATTTTTTGGGCGAAATATTCAACACTAATTATTGTAAAATAACGTTTCTTACCGGGTGGATGCTGTGCAATTTCTTCGGTGTCGTCGTTGTTGTTATTGTTGATGTTCTCTGTTTTTTGCATGAAAGTCGGTAAGGCGCCCGGTGTGTGTTTGATGATGTGCGGCTTGAGTTTGTCCAATTCTGAGAAAGCCTTGAAAAAACCAAAGATAAATAGATTTTAATAAAGTTAATAATATTGATATTATAATTTATAATAATTCATTGATGCCGCTGCTCGCGGACGCGGACTTGTTTGTTAATGATATATTATCTGCGTCTGGCGATCACGGATATATTATGTATAACGGATGGGACGACGAAGACGCGAAAAAATACCGAACATTTTTGGTTTCTACAGTGCACGTTTCCAATTTGTTATTGCAGCAATTAATTCAATTCTATATACATTTGTACGTGTTTTTATTGCATAGTATATATTATACGAACACATACAATTATAATTTATTATTATTATTCGTACAACGTCTTTAAATGCATATATTTTTTTTTATCTTAAAACAAGATAAACGTGGGCGTGAACGATGTGCTTTAGTTAATTTTTTGCGCATCATCGGGTGGCGGTTAGATTTTCCAGGTAAACGAACTGAATTTATATAAATACAACAATACGTACGAATAAAACAAAGCGTACAGTAATACAGAGTACTTTACCGATGTACGTCAACAGGTTGCGCCACATGTTTGTTTTACAATGACATGGTGAAGGATACTATAATATTTTATTCAAAATTAGAATCTTAGTAAATGTCTTCGAAATTTAGACCAAACCGATTATTGATTACTTTTTTTTATATTTAACTATAACGTGACGTCAGTGTAGGTTGTTTTAATTTTTTTGTCGTTAACATAAACTGATAAAATAACGAATATAATAAATAAAATATGATATAAATAAGTTCTAGACGGCTTAGGGTTTCCGTAGATAAAAAAAAAAAAAATGGATTGGCTTCGATTAATGTATATCATAAATAGTTTTCATGTCTGAAATTTGTCCAAACCATTTCGTATAAACGCATAAAGTTTTTATCGTGTGGTGTAAATATATTAACGAAAAAAAGCTTTTATTTTTATTACGATAGGTACCGCGTTTTCTATACTAAGCTTAAGGCTTTACGTTCGGTACACTGCAATAATATATTATATCGATAATAAAAATAATAACCACGCATTATCTTTGTATATTCTATAATATTATATATATATATATATATAATATACATGGCGATGACCTGCAGGTAGAGAAGCCCCTCTCGATCGTGATGTTTAATATTTTTTTTGTATCGATCATGTATACTTAATGAATACACAAATAATTTCTTTGTACCGTCATATTTTATTTCATTACAAATTATTTTTTGAAGTGCGTTATCCGCCAATCGTCGGAAATGAATGAATGCGTGGCGTACCTACATAGTGTATATGCAATATAAACGTGAATATTATTGTGCGCGATATCATCACGCCCAGGATATAAAGTTATTATTTTTATTAATATTGTTGCACCGATGTCAGTGCAAAAAAAATAACAACGGAACGAAAAGACAAAACGAAAAAAAAATTGAAGGTCATATTGGTAATATTATATAGTACTCATGTACATTATATTGAAATAATTATATTTATGGTCTGCATTTACGCGGCTCATGATTTTGTATTAAAATTATTATTTATTAAACGCACGCATTGGGCGTACTATAGGTCCTTGTTGTCAAGAACTATCGATCGTCACAAATGTATATATTATATTATACAAATAGATTTACGAAAATAATTAAAATTGATAAATTGACAATACTGAAAAAATAAACCGACCTCTAACCACGTTTTTCGTTTATACGTCACGTATAGATATATAGGTAAGTATTATCTGTCTAGCAGTTTTTATTTATTTTTTTAGTTTTTGTCGATTTATTCATATTTTCAACGAGCTAGTCATCGTTATACCGGCAATAACAATAAATAATATAACATGTGCATATTATAAGACCCATACAGTCCACACAGTTTTGCGCAGCAGTGGCAATACTATATTATAATACAGAGAGAAAAGTAATAAATATGTAAAATATGATACGCGTATTGAGATTTTATAAGCTGCAAAAAATCAAGTATATAACAATTATAACGACCTAGTTGCTGATAGTTTCTTGGGTTTTTCAATGACAATTTATATGGTTTTTACTTTTCTGCAGACGACTTGACAGATTTAACAACAACAAACTCGGTCGAAACATGTTAATATTATTACTATTGAACGCTGCAGGTAGTCTGCTCGCATATATATTTATTAATGTGACGCAAAGCAATACGAAACGAATAATTTAGCGTTAAAATAAAAGTATACTAACACCGTCCGGGTGGCTGGCGGATAGCAATCAAACGTCGGGAGGGGCCGTCCAGAGTAAGTTCGAGTATTAAAATCGACCGGTTTTCGTTCGGATATCGTTAGAGTGAGAAACCCTATAGTCTCTTTCTACTGCACGTAGTGTAATAAACATATTAATATTAGTTAAAATTATAATTTATTATTATTCGTGTTATTTTATATTACATAGGTACAGGTGTGGGAGCGAGCGAGTGGAATATAAAAGTTCTATAATAATCGAAAAACGATCAGAAACAATGACAATTATATCGTTATCACTATTGAACATTTTACGAACGAGTTAATATTATTATGCATATGCATGTATGAATATAGAATATAATATGTGATGTGGTGGTGGCGATAGTGATAACTGCGGCGGCGGTAGTAGCAGCGACTTGTTGCCCGGCCGTTAGAAATCGGGCGATGCGTGACAACACACAAAACCCTGGGAAAACGACGGCGGCGGAAATCATTAGCTGAGCGATTCGGCGGGAGCCAAAGGGGAAATACGCTCATAGTTTTTTAATCGTTTTTTTTCCGTTTCCGAAAAAATTAACACCCGGAAAAGGAACGAGTGGTGCGAAAAAAAAATAAAATAAATGAAACGGCTACGAACGCGGTCCGTGCACGTAATTGTGCCAGCGTCGTCAATCATTTAACTCTTTCGTTACGCGTGTCATTCGCGATTGCATATGTTCAACGAAAAAAATGTATTTATATTATATAAAAACGTAATGCGCACCCTGCGCATATTTTCCCGGGGACTCGACGACAATAATTATCGCAACTTGTACGTGTAGAATGTATATACATGGCCGGAACGAAAATCGAAAGAAGTGAAAAAACGAAAAGGGGTGAGCGCCGCGGAAACCGATGACATTGATGCTGATCGATTATCGATTTTCTCGGAGTGGCGGCGGCGGAGTTACACGCGGCGGGTAAAAAATAATAATGATAATAATAAAACCGAGCCGGGTGCGTTTTTTCTCCATAATATTCGCCTTTTGTCGTCGCATCATTAATCATCTTTTCGGAAGCGATTCCGCACGATCGATTAAAACCACTACTACTACTGCTACTACTACCATTACTATTACTACTACCTACTCGTTTCTTTTAAAAAAATGATTTTTCCCTTCTTTTATTTCCTTGAAAAACAGTTTTTTTTACAGAAAAAGTTTTTTTCTTTTTTTTAATGTGCTTGAAATTCTCACGAGATTGTTATTTTCGTTATTGTTAACGAAGTTGTTGATGCGAAATTCAAGACACGTAACCAGATACCCTCCGTTTCTTTACAAATATTGAGTGTTTTTTTTTTTCACGCCATCATCAATTTTAATCAGCAAGGAGTTGATAGTGTGAAATGTGCGCGCACTTAAATTGATTAGAAATGAAACCGTTTAATGTGCCCCGTATTGCCATTTATATTTTAAAGACTGAATAATTCCGGCAGGATAATTTTTTACGCATCGTTGTTGAAATATAATATCATAATAATAATATTGTGTAGTACCTATATAGATATAGTATGTACAAAAAATGTTCGGTTTTGTAAATTTTAGTTTCCACGCCGACGGCGCCTGGCACGGCGTGTTTATAATATGTACACAATATTTATGATTCATAATAATAAATTACCTATACATAATAACATTATCTCATATACGCCCATATTAAATTAGAGCGAGTTGCGCTTGAACTTTTCTACCGGAAATAAAATTGCCAGACCACCGGGTCGTCGTCATGAAAAAGTGTCCGGCATATATGGACCGCAAGGTGTTCGAATTCGGGATGGAAGACGCGGGTCCGGGACCGGCAGCCTACGGGACCCGGACGACGGTGGGCCGGTTGAATCGGTTGCCCACCGTGGCCGATGCGCCGTCGTGCTCGATGCACAAGAAACTGGACTTGAACAACGAGACGGACGGGCCAGGGCCGGTAGTGTACAATCTGGCGCGGCTGACGTGCCGTGGCCGGGCGGTGGCGCCACAGTACAGCATGGCCAAAAAACTGCCCGTGGACGACGACGTGGATAATCCGGGACCCGCGGCGTACATGCCCAGAGTCCCGGTCAAGAAGGGGCCTGTGCCCAAGATGCTGTTTCCGCTAATCGACCCGGATCCCGTAACGTCCACAATATTATTATTATTTTAAATTAAACCACCATCCGGATAATTTTATATTACACGCATCCGCATAAGTTCCTATTTTTTCAAAACGATTCCAATTCACGAAAAAGTACTTTTCAAATTGTAGCGGTCCCGAACTGGGCGTTTTATGATATAAATAATATATCTATAAATTATAATATGGTCTCATCTAGAGGTTTAAAACTCGCGGTCTGATTAATTTTTGGCGACTGATCAAAATATTTCCCTTTTTTAATTCTAAGTTTTTAAATAATTAATAAAAGCATATTGTTAAGAATTCTTTTTTTAAATTTTTTTTTTTTTTTTAATATAAATATTTAAAATTTAAATTTATAAATTATGTACCTATACGATTTTCGCATTAAAGATATCTTTTACTAAACAAATTATTTTATTTTGAAGAAATATTTTGATTGAAATCGTAAATCGAATTTTCTACATTAGTACGTATGTTATAGAATACATATTATGGTAAATGTTTTTATTAAGATATACTATATACTCGTAGTTTACGAATTTTAGTCGCTCGAAAATTAAATGAATTATATTCTTGAATAAAAAATAAACTCAAAAATATGTCAGGTTTTTTTTCTATAATGTACCGTGTCAGTGAAAAATTATTTTTAAATTATTAATATGTTCATATATTTTAAATATATAAACGATTAACTGGTTGTGTTCGTTTAAATACATTTTAATTTGTTTGATCAATCGTGCGTTTAGCCTTGCATAATTTAATATTATACGTTGGTAATTAAATTTCTCAGTTATATTTTAAATATATATATTTGACCATTTAAGTATAAAGTGTAAGGTTATCATTATGTGGGTATGTACGTTTGTTTAAGAGAGCCGCTAACCCTGGGTCCAATGTTTACAAGTTGCCGTCAACATTGTCGCGTAAAACAATTACGCTGGCCAAGAAAATCGACGAAATCGTAGACATCAAATCGCCCGGACCGGTGTATCAAACGGTGCCTTTGAACAAATACAAAAGCAAAGCGCCCCAATATAGTTTGGCAAAGAAATTCGAAGACCCTTTGTTGACCAACGAGATCAAGGGTCAATCGCCGAGTCCGCAGGCGTACAATCCCACGCTTAAATATAAGTACAAAGTTATGCCGAAGTTTTCATTCGGGATGCGTCGCCCCGATAAATTTCCACCACTTGTGGTGTGTGGTGACGATGTAAAAATAATAAAATGAATGGTTTTTAACTATATTTTACTTAACAACCTCGTGAATTATTTTTTGTTTGCCACTTTAATTTTACACCTACTTCGAAATTCGATAATCACTATAGTGCTATCGTACTGATAAATCTATAGATATCGTCACGTTTTACGATCAATAAAATAAAATCCTCGTGAAAAATTATACAATTAATTAATTTTTATATCTGTATTTACCTGATTGCATGCGTTACAGTGGTAATGTTCTTTTCGTTTGAGCTTGCAGAAGGCACGACTACAGGGTTGTTCGGGTCCGTACTTCTCATGTCGTTCTAAACTCATCCACTCTGGCAAAACCTGAATAGTCACGACCGGTTCGATACTCAAACTGGAATCTGTTTTCGGTTTTTCTAAATAATGCATAAACAATATTCCTGTTAATATTTATTACTATAGTTATAACTTATATTTTTTACTGTACAAATAATTAAATCTACATTAGCAATTTAATACAAGACTATGATAAATAAAAATCAATACATTAGATAATTAATAACAAAAATTGCGTGGTGTACAATGAAGTCCTTCGACTATATAATACATGTATATGTATATTTATAGTGTAACGATAATAATAAGACGTGTAAAACGGTCGATCACTTCCACCGAAAAAAGCAAAGCTTATAAATTGTAATACTATATGTGTATAATGTACATATATCATATATAATATAATTAATTTATACAAATACAAAAAAAAAAAATAAAATAAAAAAATAATAATAATAACTATAATAATCATTTCTGCATGACCCACCTGTCAGGGTTGCAGGGTCTGAAAAATTTGGAGAGGAACTCTTAGCGTTCGATAGGCCGCTCATAGGGTAGAAAGTGCCCGAAGCCTTCACCACTTTGAAAAAGACAGAAAAAAAAAAACGATCAAGACAAAAAATACTACACTAAGACAATTCGTTTAAAACAGATAAAAATGCAAATAAAATAAAACACTTACCCGTTGTCGATCGTTGGCTCGTAGCTGAATCAGACGGCGAAGGGGTAGCTTGTGGCCTCGCCGGTGACAAGATTTCTTCTTTGATTTGAGTTTCTGTGACAGACCACGGGCGAGATATATCATTATATGATTTTAGATGTTTTATTTTTATTATTTCGTAATAATACTGGTGAAGGAATTTATCTTACGATATTATTGAACGTTTAATGCAAACTTACCTAATTTCTCGGAAATCTGCAAACCAGCGGTGGCCTGATGCTGTAATAAATGTTGAGCCATCTGAGTGTATCTGGTGAACGAGTAACCGCATCCAGCTCTCACACAGTGAAAATGCTTGTTGATCGTATTGCTGCAAAAATATAGAAACGGAACATGAAATAAGATAACGAACGGTTTGTATAACGTATAATATTATGTATTATTGTCATATCAAATGCAGTGACTCGGAATAATAATTTAATTTTTCCAGCCGTCATGCAGTATAATTATTATATTATTACACTCACTTAGCGCACGTCTCTAGGCGGCAGTCGACCGATCGGTCGAAGAACAAAAATCCCTCCATGATGGTGACGTTGTCATGGAAATGCGTGGAATGGGCTTGTAATTCTTCGTCGTTGTCTGTGGCAAAAAAGCATCGGGGCCGGCGACAGTGGTAATGCAGCGCGACGCCTTCGCTGGTGTACTTACAGAGATTGTCCGGACAACCGTAACGATATTCCTCGAAACAGTGTTGTTCCTGAAAATGAACACAAACACATGTTTTATAAATCTCGGTCAATAAAGCGATATTTGAAAAAAAAAATGTTACATTATTGTGAGTTGTGACGTTTTATTTATACATACATGTCATATTATAAAATTGCGATTTCCCCCGTTGTGGTTATAATAAGACGATACAAGAATTAAAAAAATAGAAACCTAACATTGTAGCAAACATTTTTTTCGATATTTCACCGAAAAAGGCATAATTATTATCAAATTTAACGTACACTTTTTGACATATAAATAAATTACGTTTTTATTATTTCTCACGAACATTTTAATTTGGTCGAGTGTTTTTAAAATATAAATACATATATATATTGTTTTTCGCGTTTTACGATAAAATAAAATCGTCGGAGAACGTAGTCGTTACGCGACGCCCCACTCGAACCCCTAAATATGCTATTAAAAGACAACCCCAACCCTCGCACCGAAAATCAGATATAAAAACCTATCTATTAAAACCACATGTAGGTGCACACGACATGACAATGGCATTAAAATAATATGATATGTACACATATCACGTGTCGTCGTTTTTGTTGACGTCGCGGTGTGTCTTACCAGCGTGGTCTGGGTGGGTACTTCCGCATCTTCCGACTGTTGTGACTGTCCCGACGACTGCGAGGGCTTGGGCAATTTGAAACTGGTGAATATGGCCTGCGGGGAATCGCCGGTGGACCCACTCGCGTAGTCGTTCCACACTTCGATCACTCGGTTCTTCGGCGGTCGGCCTCGCTTCCTCCTGAACAGAGCGTCTAACGAATTGTATTGACCGTACGGTAAGTCGTGGCTTTTGATGTGTTCGCCGCGCTCGGACGGCAGTACCGCCTCGTAACATCCTTCCTGCAAAACGTACGCGTCTCGTGTTATATTATTGACACTACTACACTACGTGGACACGGTGGCGTATTGTGTGCGCGTGTTTTGACGAGTGATTCATGTCGTTAAAATGGTCACTGCGTACTTACCAAAACGCAATGAAAATGTTGTTCCTTGGTGCACGTGTCCTGACAGTAGGCCGGCCCTCCAGGGTAAAAACTCTCGTTGATCCGTTCCTGGGTGTCGTGATTTCGAGCGTGTGTTTCGGCAGCGTCTTGAGTCCTGTAGACGAGAAAAAAAACACAAACGTTTAGACTATAACAATTATTAGTAACTCATATATTATAAACATTTCAGGCGTTAAAATCTATCTAGTATTAGTCTCGGCTCTGCACTACCTGACTGATAAAATACAATCGCTGGTAAAACGATCGTTACACTTCCTGTTCAATCAAAAGTATTGAAACATTGTTTTTAGTATGGTATATATTTATTTTTCTTATCATATTATTTTCTTTTTAATTTTTTTTTTTTTTATAAATTATGATTTTGGCATTTCAATTGCACGCGAATAATATTCGATATGAGTAAATTTGAATAAATCGTACGCGCATTTAAATACTTTCATATTTATAGTATTTTGAAAACGTTTTCAATGCAGGCATCTTTTTATATTTCCGGATTGTCGCCTACGCGATGTTAACGCAACTCACTTGACGGGCGATTCGCAGTTGGGTTCTTTGCAGTGGAAATGGTCGGTGTCAGACATCGCGCAACCAGAACCGCCGGTGCACGTGTTCGGTTTGAACCGGGTCAGGTATCTGGGCCACATCTCCACGTCTTCGGGCGACCCGCCGTCCGCGGCGCCGGTGGACGAGTTGTCCGTGAAGAACCCGTGGCCACCGCTCATCTTGGACTGGGCCCGCGGCGTGGACGACAGTGGCGACATGGGACCGCCGCCGCCGTCACTCGAGCTGTTGCTGTAGCTGGCCGTGTCGCCGGCCTGCGCGGCGAGCGCGGACAGCGAGGCCAGCGAGTTGGCCTGCTGGTGGAGGAACTGCAGCGAGCTGCTGGGCGAGATGGACAACTCGTTCATTTGCGAATCCCCCGCGGCCGCCGCACCGTGGGCGACACGTCTCCCGTCCCACGGGACCCATTCGTCGTCGCTGACCTGGTCCGGCGGGTTGCCGATGCCAACGCCGCCGCCGCCGCCGACCACGACGCCGCCGACGACACCACCGCCGCCACTTCCAGCCATGTTCAACACGGCCTGCTGGGCCAGTTTGAACTTTCGGTACGCGATTTCGCTGTCCTTGCGCTCGTGCTTCCGCTTGTGGCTCAGCAGCTGTCCGCTGGAGTGCAGGACGTAGTTGCATCCGTCCCGCACGCAGTGGATGTGATTGCACACCTGCGAAAACCGGCAGTTGGAAAAACCACACGGATCCGGTTTCATGAACTTCTTGAACCCGTCTCTCGCCAACTGTTCGTCCTTGATGTGATAGGTCTTGTGTTTTTCTGGAAAAATAACAACATAATAAATCATTTATTATGTATAATTATACGATACGATTGTGATTGATTTTCGATCGTATCATAATATAAATTTTGCCTCGCCCACGACTCACCCATGTCAGCTTTGTTTTTGAACGTAAACTGACAGTGATCACGCCTGCAGTGAAAATGAGTAGTCCTCTGACCGTAGAACGCGCAGTACGGTGTCCGACATTCTTCCGTGGCTCTAAGCCTCTGGAACCCTTCTTGTATTATGGCTGAATCTTTTCTGTGATAGTTTGCGTGCATCTGCACGTCGGACGTGCTTATATAGACTTTATCACAGGTACCCTGCGAAAAAAAATTACGATAATGTAAATAATTGTGGACGTAATAACAATTTATTCAAAAGTTTCTACGACTCACTTGAATGCAATGATAATGTGTTTGCTTGCGGTTGTGACTGCATCCCTGATATCTATCTGAACAGTCGTCACTTGGCGAGTACCTCATGAAACCGTGTTGTAAGCTCTCGTCCCTCTTTTTGTGCCATTTGAAGTGTCTAATCATTTCTTCTTTTTTGACGAACACTCTTGAGTTGCAGTCAAGACAATGGAAGTGCTCTCTACGAAAACAAAACAAATAACAATAGTATTATACTATCACGCATTGCACTTCGATCTAGTCGCTCTAAAGAAGTCGTCGCCGTACCTATAGTTCAAATCTCTGCATCGGGCTGATCCACATTCTTGACAGCTACTAAACCTCCTCACGTAACGCGAGTAATCGCCACTGGTCGGTGTTGAGCATCCGCTACCTCCACCACTGCCGCCAACGTTGGACGATGCCCCTTGCAATACCATGGTAACGTTATTGAGGGCCGAAGCGATCGAAGAAACTCCGGTCGTCTGAGATTCAGTTCTAGTAGTCGTCAGTGCCAACGGACTCAGAGATCGTTTTGATATTCCGTTATCTGTGGATAAAAAGTAAAATGAAATTTAAAAATATATACAACACAATGTAATGTGTACGACTATAATATATTATATATTGTTTATATGTATTAAAACACGCGACTTATAAGTCATCTTAGGCCGGGTGTCGGGTTACCCGTTCGGTTCTCAGCAAGGTCATGAGAAAAATGAGCGAATTTTTCAAATCCTCTATAAAGAATCCGTATATTGCGAAAACAAAACAATAACGACAATACGAGAAGCCACCGGATAGGGTTAAATCATTGTGTTCACGGTAACCCGAGCTGTCCGTGTCACCTCATTTTACCCCGAAAAAAACCTTTCTTTGTACGCATGTAATACAAAAATATATAATAACAGTACATAATATAAAGTTGCAGAATGGTTTTTTGTGGAAAAAAAAATATAAGGTGGCAGACACGTAACCCGATGCTGAGCGAAAGGGGTGACACACGCAACCGGGAGAGACGTGCCGGACTGTTTTCCCATAATTACGTATACCTACTTGCAGTGGTCCAGGTGCGCGTGGAAACGAAATAATAAATCCTTCGTGAGTGAGACCAACCCTTTCGACAAAAAAAGAAAAAAAGGTCACCGTCTTTTTGTGAAAAAAAGAGACCGCGAATACAATGAAACATGTGATGTTTAAAAAAGGGAAATTTATCAAAAAGGGAATCGCGCTACATTGTGTTATATATTATATTTTTTAAGGAGTTTATACTGTCGGTTTCGTAAGATTATTATTTTATTTTTTTTTTTATTTTATTAATATATATATATATATATGCGACGTTATTTTTTTGCTCTATACCGATTCCCAGCATTAATTTTAATAAATCCGGTAAACAACGACCGCGGTAGCTTTTTTATACAACGGTCGATGACTTAACAACGTCACTGCAACTGTCATATTATAATTTGATACGCCCAAAACAGTTTTCTAATTGCCACCATGCAAAAGAAGTTACCTACGTGATAACAATCATTATTAATACTCGCGTGTATTATTATAATATTTTTGTATTTGATTTTCCCGGTTTGTCATTGCGCGATCGTATCGAGTGACGTCAAGGAAATCACGTGGGGCAAGACACACGCACTCAACTAGACCAAACCCTGAGACTAAACGTGCATAATATAATAATAATAATAATAATATAAAAGCGTTATTGTGCGCGCGCGGTGCATGATGCTCGGCAGTTGCAAGTCATTCCTTGTATACACAATCGTATAGGTACGAACGTCTTATGCTGCACACTGCCCTTGACACGGATAGTGGTTTACGAGTTAAGAAAAAAAAAATAAACAAATAAATAAACGAAAAAAAGGCAATAATTTTAAATAATATTTGTAAGTGATGTAGGTGTACGTGTTATATGTAAGCTGTTTACACACATTATTTATTTTTTTTTTTGAATCTGAAAAATTCATTTTTTATAATATTATATATCACGATTTTTCGAGGATTTTCCGACGACCCATGCATTAAGATAAAGTTTTAATCTTCGCAACTCATGCTCAGCGCGTCGCTCAGAATTAATGCAAAGAATTAAAATTTATAAAAATAAATACTCGTCGACCAACGAAATATTTCGTAATCTTTGGCGTATCGCAACGTCGATTAACAGTTAACAATATTGTCCTATTTATTTTTGCTCACGACTGCCACCGAGCACCCATTCAAGCTCGATTCAGCCGTTTTCCCCTTTTATTTCACTAACAGTCCATATTGTGCGCGAAATTGAAAACTTATCAGATTCGGTTTGAATACGCATGTTCGGATCGACTCTCTCATATCTGGCCGCAAGACGACACAACGCAAATTAAAAAAAAGAAAGAAAGAAACGAAAAAAGAATTTTATAATGAACATAGTTTTATTGTTCTAATGAAAACTATTGATCTCCAAGTAAACCAGGTATTATTATTTTTTTTTTTACATTATCGAACTTTAAACTTTTTAGCCATTGTTCGAGTACCTATTGTACAACTGACTGGAACAAAATAATAATAATAATAATAATAATAATAAAAAAGTTTAAACGCACAGGCCTCGTAGACGTTTCACAAAAACTCAATCACCATGGTAACCGATTATTGTTGATATTATTGGAAATTCTTTCTTCTTATTTTTATTTATTTATTTTTTACTCCTATCCACTCTCTCGACTTCTGAACATTTCTCTCCTTCCCACCCCCTGTACATGCCTTACGTCCCTCTTCGACTTTAAAATTGATTATCCTGCGAATTCGTCTTTCCACTTATATATATTTTATATAATATATATAAATATATAAAGTATACTAACACAAGCCGGATTCAATAATACAAATCGGTTTAGTCTGTCGGTACTTCGGTAATATTTTTTTTTCACAAGGAAACAAAAACAAAACGCCCGTCGTTTTCGCAAAATTCCGGTTGCCACGTTGCTATTATAGTCGTCCATCACATTCGGAGTGCTGCAGGATCGTGTGCGCTCGTAGACAAATCACGGAGGTTTGCTGCAACCGTTATGGCTTCGCGAATATAGGAATATATAATAAAATAAGATAATTTATAGTGATATACCTAGTATTAAAACACGAGTTAAACGATATATCCATAAATGAAGTATTATTGAAATTAAACTTTACGTACATAATATACCTGCTTAACATTAATTTTAATATTAAAGTCGATTGCAGTGTACTCGTATAAGTAGTTCTCAAAAAAAAAAAATATCATACATGATATAATATGATATAAAAGCATATTTATATATTTTATTATTATCATAGTTGTAACTTGTAATATATTTTTCGTATTAGTTTATATGTGTAGTACGTGTGCAACTAGCTTTCGTCGAACGTTTTTTTTTTTTTTTTTTTAACTCACTTTATTTATATTATATTATGTACGCGAATTGTGCGTTTTTTTTTAACCGTTGCTGTCCGCCCGTCTTCGCCCCTATGTATTACGTATACACTCACACACACGTACAAAATTTCTCGCGTATCATTTTTCCCGTGGGTGTACAGAAAATTACTTCGGGCACAAATCCATTTAGTATCGGTGTCACCTGCGACACACACACACACACGCGCCGCGCGCGCGCACGCACACATAAAAAATACATATTCTGTCTCATAATTCATCGGATGCGCGTTATAAAGGGATGGCTTAACAAAAAAAAAAAAAATGAAAAATACCATTTTTACCACTATGTATATACGGATTTCACGGATAAACACTATGTTTTTTTTTACGTCCTTTTACAGAAAATTTAAAAATGATGATGAAAAGACACGATAATGGTATTTGAATTGTACGAAACGTGTCTTAAAGACATATATGAGGTCATGACGAAGCATAAACCGAAACGCTTATAGAGGTGTGGGCACGACTCCTCCATATATATGTATATATATTTATATATATTGTATACATATGCAGTATATATGTTGCATGCGAGATTTAGTAGGGGAATGAAATAAAAAGAAATCGTTTTATTTTATTTTACTTTTGTATATATATTTTTCTCAACCAGTAGGTATTATACACTAAAAAAGAACATGTGGGTAAAATAAATATTAACAAAAAATATCTATGTATGCGGCAGCCACGGCCGCCGGAGGTATTTTGTACGCAGTGAAATCTGTGATATTTTTTCGACGTGATTAATGAGCATCCGTTATCTATTCAGTGCCAGAAACAACGAGGAAAACATTTTTTTTCTATTTATCTCTTTCCACCTCCCTTTTAGCTTTTCACCACCCGCGTTCGCGACTTAATGATTTCTTTCGGGCTTAAGCTCATGTACACTGTGTTTTTTTTTTTTTGCAAGTACCTACACTTTTAATACGTATATGGTATATATATACATATATTGTAACCACAATTTATATTGTTGTAATTCGGATTACTATTGGCATTTTTTCTCCATTGCACGTTGCACGCGAGATGATCGAATTACAGTATCGCACATTTTATAACCGCGGTAAGTAGGTATACCTTTTCGTTGCAACCGAGACTGTTTTTTTTCCATTTTTCGTCGGTTTATATCGTGTGTGGTTTTACATACATTTTATTTGACCAGTGCGTCACGGTTCGCGCACCCGTAAGATTAAGCAAAAAAGTAGAAATAAACATTGATATGATAGAATGAAAGAAAAAAATGTATAAAAAAAATATATAATAAACCAACAATGGGAAGAAATGCGAATACAATATTATGCAATCCGATCGTTGTTGCATGATCTAGATCCGAATGATAGTTTTACCCACATGTATAATATTATATATTATATTTAATATGTAGGCACAGCCATCGCGACTGTTTGGATAATAGATGTAAATAATATTTTATATTATTATTATGTTTCGTAACGGATTTTTCTGTTCATTTTTTACAGATTAGTGAAATATCTGTAAACAAATTTTATATGACGAAACGCATAAACGCTGCCAAGGTGTAAAGTTTTCATTTTATAATACATTTGACGCATGGCGCGCGTATGATAGATGGTAATGTTTCGATTTTTTTGTATCATTATCGACGGAGTATAAATTATATTATATCGCTTGCCAATATATTATATTATGATATTTTTGAGCTGCATTGACTTTCAATAATGATTTGGAAAGAAAAAAAAATCGTATTTAATAAAAGTAATGCTCGAGCTAACGCTATCGCAGCGTTTGATTTATTTTATAAGTCAAATTAACAAATACCATTGTGTTTTTTTATTTGTTTTATTTTTTTAGTATAAACAGATTTGTGTTAACACGTATTTTTTTTTTCACTCGCAGGTATACCCTGTGGCGCTAAGGCCGACAACGGTCGAAAGACCAGTATAAATACATTAGTTTTTATTACGAGTTATTTATCGTCGATTCGTCGTCAGGCGAGAATTATGTTTTAAAAACTAGTGACAAATTATTATTATTATCATTATTATGTTATTATTATACACCGGGAGTCTAACGATATTTGGTCATTTACCCATAGGCATAATATATTA